TCTCTCTCTCTCTCTCTCTCTCTCTCTCTCTCTCTCTCTCTCTCTCTCTCTCTCTCTCTCTCTCTCTCCCCCCAACGGGCAGCAGCGGCGGGCGCCACGTCGAACTGGCCGCTTTGAAATTGCTCGGGCCTGTGCGAAACTCGCCACCCCAAAAACCTGCAGTGTCTTGTGGCTGGACCTCTAGGCCATGTCCGGTGGGGTGAAAGGACACTTAAAAATCACCCCATTATTTTTTGAGGGACCGCTAGGACCCAACAAACGTCCTGGGCCGCCCCCCTTTTTTTTTTTTTGCCCCAGGGGTTTTCATCCAGATGTGGGGACCGGACACCGGACACCGGATACCGGACTGTCAGGAACCCGGTCCGAACGTCCGGGCGGTTACCATGATGCAATCAGACTCGCTTTCTTCTTCACTTCCGCAACATGCAAACAGATGGTCATTCACACTAGCGCTGTGCGGCCACACAAAGCTCAGAGATATTCAAGCCGCGAACACAGTCCAGATACAAACTCGTTTCCAATCAGCTATGGCGCCTGAGCGCCGTTGCATCCTCTGTTGCCACTGTGTTCACCCCAGCTATGGCCCGGGAGGAAGGGGGGGAGTTAGGGCACTTTTTGGTTTCTTTGGGGTGACTAGGTAGTAGCTCAGTTTTATAGCTTTTGGTGGAGGGGTGAAGATGACCAGAGAATTGCCCTTGTTTTCTTCTTCTGTGGCCAGAATGATTCTAACTCGCACTCCCCCAAACCCTTTGAAGCCGCCTCAACTCGCCCCTCCCCTCCCCCCTTCCCCCTCCTCCCTCCCTCCTCCCCCCTCCTTTTTGCCCACTCTTGGGCATCCTCAAAATAATCCTTTGGGGAGATTATCGGTACAGATATTTGTGGAGGGCAATGGAGGCAGAAGGATGATGGGAAAGGTGGCCTTCTTTTCTTGTTTCCGTTGATTTTTCGTTTTCACAACTTTTCAGTCCCCACCGCCTTCAAACCCTCTTAATCACCTCTTTGACCGTCCTGCCCCCCCCCCCTCTTCTTCCCCTGCCCCCTCCCTTCCCCTCCTCCACCCACCCACAGCGCTCTCGCCCCTCCCCTCTTTCCTCGTAGTGTCCCATTTAACAAAACAAAAAGAGCACCAAGAAATTGTTTGGAGGGCTGGGCCTGCTGGACCCGCGCTTACAAATAATTGCACTGCAACTACGTCAACTCATCAGTGTTCTCTTGCGCACGGAGGGGGTGACTTGGCAAGAGGTGACGCTGTCTCACCTTGCATACGCTCTCCAGGCACCTAGAGAGATAGTAGACCTCTGCCTGCTCAGCAGCTCCGCAATGGGCCATATTCGTGGAGGGACTGTGTGGACTCAAAAATTGGCTTTGTGGAAGGAGATTTACGTGAGATGTCGGCTCCCGGAAACGGCGGATGCCGTTTATAACCAGCTGCTTTTTGACAATCGCTTCATTTGTGACGAGGCAGGGGACCCCTACCCATGGCAAGGGCCGCGAGGGCCTTATGAATGGAAATGGGCGGAGCAGGGCATTTTTAAGGTGGGACATTTGTGGGATGAGAATCGGAAGGACTGGCGAACACATGAAGAGATGGACCTAGCCCTACACGGACGCATGAAGAAGGCACAGCGGGTTAAGGACATGAGAGATGCTATTCCGTCCCGGTGGGTGGAAATGTTAAAGAAAGACGAGGTAGCAGGGGGACAGTGGGTTAAGCTTAAGGGGAATGAGGCGCCTGAAAGGCTCTATAGAGTAAAACAGGTAATGCCGAATGGAGACCTGGAGGCCACTGCATGGCAAGATAGGCCAGGATGGGGATGGGAGGGATTGGGGGAACCACTGCAAGATTTGCACTCTGTGAGAAGAATAGCACGAGCCTTGGTGGAACGGTTGCGGTATGCGAAGGGGGGAAGAAAACGGCTGGACAATATTTGCCTTTTCGCACTGCAATCCGGCTGATGGACCTAGTGTGGAATCCGGGAGACTGGGAATGCCCCCCCCAGAGGACACAGGAGAACCATGCCGCTCCAAGAGGTGACCACAGAGAATGTTTACAACTCGTTGTTGGAACAGGTGAACATCTGTGGTGAACTGAAGGAGAGGTGGGCTAAACGAGAGTGGCTGCCGGACGGCCATCTCACTAACCGGACACAGTGGAGGTGGAACGAACAATGCAACATCATGGCTGCCTTGCCAGATCAGAAGCAGGCGGCCCTGCTGTGGCAGATCGACCAGGTTGTAGCAATCCCCCCTTTGTTAGGCGTCTAGGGCCACAAGGGTAAGGCTTTCCTCTTTTCCTACAAATAATTTGTACTTTGGAACTCATGCTTGCCGGTGATAAGCAACCGGACTGATGCCCCCCAGAGTAGAAGGGGCTGAGTTGTTACAAAAAAAAAGCTGTGACAGGTCACAGCTGTCACATTTGCATTTGCACACTGCAATGTAAATGCTTACCTTCCTGGACTCTTGATTGCTAATCTTTTTCCTCTGTTCTGTTTTTCTTCCTTTTTTTCTTTGCAGATCCTATGGATGTCAGACAATGGTATGCCTGACCTGGGAGGAATTTCAGAGGAAGAGGAAGCGAGTTTTGCTGATGAGGCAAGTGGCTGTTTTGTTTTTTCTCCTTTGGTAAAGGCACCCTGGCTCAACTATTTGTCAGTACAAGAAGGACATACCGTTGAATGTCGTGGAGATGTTTGAGATAATGGAAAAATAAAAAGGCAAGTCCTCAGTGGACCAATGGACCATTCCTTTTTTTTCTTTTTCTTTTTTTTTTGCCGAAATCAGACCTGTGGTACTAGGTTGGGTGATACAAGCATCCCCACCTAGTAGCCCTCTGCTGGCTGCCCCCGGTCTATTGGTGGGGAGCCACACCTGCTGGAAACCGGGCCCAGCGTCCCTGATACAACATACTGGGAACATTACCCAGCTTCGCTTGCGCTTCCTCTGTGGCCCTTCCTCTCAGCTACTTCAGCCGCCTGGGCACAAGCGGTTAACAGGGACCCCCACTTTTTGGTTTATTTGGTGTCCACTCTATGGACTGGTGACAAGTCTGGCTTGAAAGGTGTAAGACGTTTGTTATAATGACCCTGAAAAAACCCTGAAAATTTAGGGGTCTGTTAACCGCTTCTCAATAAAAAAGAAGAAAAATTCAAAAAATCAAAAAAATCCAGTGTCGCAAACCCGGTACGACCGGGGGTCCCTCCCCCAACTGGAACCGGACCGGTCCTACTGGCCGGTCGACCGGGCTGGTTCCCCCCCGGTTGGCCGTAGCTGCGTAGCGCATCATTTATTATTATTATTTTTTTTAATGCCCAGGGTGTTGTAGAGGCCAAGGACTAGACCCACGGTGATCGCTGGCAGCGGCAGCCGGTGGTTGTCCTGACAGGATAGGCCTCCTTCCCTACCCTTCTCCACGTTAATGCTCCCAGCGCATCCCCTGTCCCTACTATCCTACCTCAGTGTGACCAGCACTCAGGACCATCACCCTACCAGTATCGAGGGCAACTTGGACCGGACGGTGGTGACAAGCACCCCCTAACACTATCACCTCCACCCCCCTTTTCAATTTTTTTGGGCGGGAAGTACTGTCTCTACCCTGCCACTAACACCCCCAGCCCCCTTTTCAAAGTTTTTGGGTGGAAGGTAACGTTTGCAGAAAGCCAGGTACGTTGTTGTCAATGTCTGCTGAAGCCCGTGCTTGCTGAAACCCCACCACTAACACCCTCACCATAAACCCCCCAACCCCCAACCCCTGAAATCCCCCCCCCCACCCCAACACCCCAAACGAAACTTCTCTGTTCAAAGTTTTCTTTGCGGATTTTGGGGAGATCTCGGCGAGCGCAGTCCAACCATGTTTTCAAAAAATAAAATAAAATAAAATTGTCCCACTTTTGGGCCCAACCGGAATTCCGTTTGGACCACCGGGGATCCAACCGGCCCGGTCCAACTGGCCGGTTGCCGGCACAGCCCTTATGTCATGCAGAATTGCAAACCAATGATCTTTTGCCTGAGGGTGGGTGGCCATGAAATTCGCTATGGAATCCGAAATAAAACTAAAACTAAAATACTGAATTACATCAGACCCTTTACGCCTCGTTAAGCCCCTTCGAGCCCTTTCGAACCCCGCTTGCACCCCATAGACACCCTTTGGTGAGATATCACCTAACTCAAAGATAAGGCCGGATTTGGGCATGTCTCAGTGGTTGCAAAGTTGCCCCCCTCTCCCCCCCCCCCCAAAAAAAAAAGTTGACCCCTTTTTGATGTCCCCTGGGTACCCCGGGCGGGTCATTCCCCGTGCAAATTCCCCCGGGTCGCCCGGTCGGGCGACTCTGGTAACGTACGTTTAGAGGGGGGCTTTCAATCCACAGGAAGGTACATTCCTCAATGAAGCTGAATCAACTTAAGTAGTTTTTTTTTTTTTTTTTAACCAAAGGATTTATTTGTTGTGATACCATTTTCCACTGTTGTCTTTGGCTGTCTTGTCGCACATCTTTTGTTGTTCAGGTGCAGCAGCCAGAATTGGTTTACGCCGGTGCTTATAGGACTGTCTGTGTTGAACTCAAGGTAAATCATTTCAACCCTGGGTGGTAAGTGTGGTTAGTTTTTGGGTATATATGTGGAACTCTGCGATTCTTTTTCCTTTACTTTTCTGGCTTCAAGATTCATAGAAATTCGGTTGCTTCCCTTTTTTTGTTTCTTAAACCAAAAAAGAACTAGACTCGGTTGCTATGGATACACTCGAAGTGGATATGCTTCGGAGTTTGGCTTTTGAGTAACACTGTTGGTTTGCAACTTCGCATACACTTCATTGTCCTTTGGCTTTGGAGTAACTTTGTCGTAATATTGTTGCTATGGTTACACTTGAAGCCCCTCAGCGCTTTTTCCTACTCTTTTCTGTGTCTCTCTCAGTGTTTGCTGATCCCCTATGCTGAGTTGGTCTGTTGCTACTTCCTGTTCAGACTGTGTGGCGGCTTTTCCTACTTTGGTGAGGCCCCGTTTGGATGAGGGTCATGTGCTGAACTGGAGCAAAATGTGCGCGAATTGTCTGTGTGGCATTGTGAGTGTGTGAGAGTGAATTAAGGGCACTACAGCCATGCAGGGGTACAACGGATATGGAGGTCGATACACCGTGTCATGACTGTGGTGGTTAAGAGACTTGGCTCTTGTGGCTAAGGGTGCTGGTTCGATTCCGTGAGTGCACACTGCTGGATCCGAGGCCAGAAAGTACTGTGCGGCCGCAGTCTATCTTCTCTCTCTCTTTCTTGGCCTTCTTTCGTTGATCCTCTTCCTTTTCTTTCTCTCTCTTTCCCCGTTTTCTTCCTTGTTTTTCTTGGGACACTTCATTTGTTTCTAAATGCCGTGCAAGCAGCCGTCGGACTATGTTGCTTTTTGCTTTGTGTGTATTATTTTCAGTGAATCACCTCACCTTCATCCTTCGCATAAAGAAGGATAAATGTGAGGTAGTGTGCTGCTGACGTCTTGCAGGCCCTGGGCTTAAGTGTCTGCCAAGTGTCAACAGGGCAGAGCCTGGATACTCCACTGCCAAGTGTCGACAAGGCAAAGCGTGGACACCTCTCTCCCAAGTTTCAACCGGGCATTTAGTGGCCAAGCACTTAATCAGTTTTTTATTAACATTTGATTCATGCGTAGTCTCATTCATGATGAAGGGAGGAAGAGCAACAAAGGCTATGGCTGTTAGGCACTGAAGATTGAGATGACCAGACCATGGCCAGGCCATGGCTAGACCAGGCTTTGGTGGAAAAGAGGACGGCCCCTGAGTCTGCCCTCCCTCTCTTCTTTGTGCATTTTGTGATTTAACAGTCTGCTGCTGATAAAAGGCTATGGCTGTTAGGCACTGAAAATTGAGATGACCAGACCATGGCCAGGCCATGGCTAGACCAGACTTTGGTGGAAAAGAGGAAGGACCTTGAGTCTTTAAGATTGGCAGTTTGTAGTGCATTCGCACTCGATCCTTTGTTCCTGGACAGTGGTCGATTCTGCCCTCCCTCTCTTCTTTGTGCATTTTTGTGATTTAACAGTCTGCCGCTGATAAAAGTAACCGGAGTGATGCTCCCCAGAATCGAATGGAGCTGAGTCACTAAGGCTCCATTTTTTGATGAGAATAACTTTTTTACCAGAGTGGCCAGGGACCACTAAACCAGCAGGGCCAAAAAAAAAAAAAAAAAAAAAAAAAAAAAAAAACTTTACCCTGGGTCCCTGAGGCAAAAGTTTCTCAGTTTACTTTTCTGCGTAACATAATTGTTTTTTGGATTTTTTGGATTTGTTTTTTTTTTCCTGGCTGGGACCTTCCTTGGTGATTGCAAAGCCGGACAGCCCAAGCAAACTAGGTGACCCAGGAGGCCTGGCTGGTACCCCAAGAAAAAATTGAAAAGAAGAAGATCATTCTTGCAGCTGGCCAAGCCCCTTGGCAGGTAGCATATGCTGGATGAATTTAAATTCCAAAGGTGCTCAGGACATCATGTTCTATGGTTCTCACACACACACACACACACACACACACACACACACACACAGAGAGAGAGAGAGAGAGAGAGAGAGAGAGAGAGAGAGAGAGAGAGAGAGAGAGAGAGCAATTCTTGAGTCAAAGAGTACAGGTGGCAGCCATGCACTAGCCGAGTCTCCTGAGCTTTCCTCTTTTCATTCGTTGAGGAAAGACTCCGAAAGGGCCAACTTTTTTCTCTCCTGAATTCAATTCGGGAATCTCTGGTTTATAACGTTTTTGGTGATAAGGAACCGGATGATCGCCCCCAGAATATAAGGGGGGTTCAGTTTCAGATTTCTTCTTTCTTTTTCTTTGAAAGAAAAGGATGCCACTCTTGCAGGTGCTTTGACAATGGCTTTTTTTGTCTACAAGGAATAACTGCAGTTAATCCCTTAGGCTTTGCCTCGGGCAATCGGTACTGCTATTTCTCGCGTCCACATCTTTTTTTTTTTTTTTTTTTTTTTTTTTTTTTTTAAGACAATGCTCCAGTCTATTCGAGGGGAGAAGCACGTGCTGGGAACTGGGCCCAGCATCCCATTCGAGAGCATGTTGAGAAACATCTTGCATATCGTATTCAATGATTTGGGATGCTGCGCTCATTCAACAGCAGATGCTGTTCTCCACGAAAAGATTGGAGTTTTGAAAACCGCAAGGAAAAGTATGTGCCCGTATGATTTCTCGATCAGTTGTGCGCTGCCCATGTTATTCTTTTTTCTTTTTTTTTAAATAACCAAGCTATATTCTTCTCTTCATCGTGCCTCTCACTACCTTCCTACCTATATCAGCCAGGCGAAGTCAAAGGGGAAGCAATACACAGTCTGAATAGAACCCTGCGCTGTAAAGTGCCCACAAAGTCTACTAAGGTTAAGCCCAACCCCAGGTGAGGGATGGAAGCAACGAAGGAATAGCCCCTACCAAGACCAACCAGGGGGGGGAAGCCAATTATCTCAGCTGGTGAACCGACATTGTGGGATCGGATAGAAGACGTGGGGAATCGAACCCACGACCTCGTGAATGCCGCTTTCATGCTTTACCAACTGAGCTAGGCAGCTGACCCCTGCCCCTGTAATTCTATTATTTGCATTGTGCCCTTCTGACACCTGCAACTTTGTGTCAGACGCCTGTGTAACGGGCATGCAATTTGCACCCTGCCCTTGTGCCTCCAGCACTTGCACCAGCGGCAAGATGGATGCAGGGAAAATATTTCCGGCCCCGACAATGTGATAGATAAATGCTGGCAGGTGTCTTCCTCAGTTATTCCCTTGTTATGTTCCTGATTCGTTCTGTGTATATGGGACGTTGGACCCGTTTTCCAGCAGGTGATGCTCCCCACCAATAGATGGAGCCTCTCCCCGGGTGCTAGTGCTGTCTGCTCTCACAAGTGGCAGTAGCACTGCAGGGGGTGTTGAAAAAAAAAAAAAACAAAGTGATAGATATTC